TACAATTTTGATTCATTATCATATAATAATTCATGATTATTTTCTCTTCTTGTTTCTTTACCGACCGAATATCATAATGGAACAGTTATGTGTCTGACTTTCTCTCGACATCTTCTACTGTCAGCGTTAGGTCAGTGCTGTTCTTGATTTATTCCGATACTTTTATATCTTTTCTTTTCCTCTTCTTATTGTTATAATATTGAAATTGATGAGAATTATATATATATGTATTTTTTTTTTCTTCTAGGAATATTATACGATATCTGTAATATTTAAATGATATTTCAGGATATTCGTGTGTACCGGAGTTTGCGCTGAAAGTACAACAAGAAACAAATAGCGCTCGTTTGTACGTCGGTGACACTAGCGTTGGTTCATCCATTATTCACCGTTCATCCATTTACTTCATTTACCTCGTTCACTTCGGTGTATCGTCGCAAAAAACCAGTAACCAGACACTCGTAACACGCACGTCGCGATGCAAGGAATGTACTGTGGAAAATAAATACGACACAGGAATCTCATTTCTGAGAAAGTATTTTTTTTGCAAACTATTTCTTCCATTTCACATACGCGTGTGAAATCTTGTAGAAAATTTTCTGGTAAATATTCTTAATATTGAATATCATTTACTCAAGTAATATCGATAATTAAAATTTTGAACATGTTAATATGGAAATAATTTAAACATATTAAAATATTTCGTAAAAAGACTTTGGTAAATAAAAAAGGTCTAAAATAAAATGAAACATTAAATAATTAGTTAGTGGCCATTTGCATCGTTTATTGCTAATATAAATACCATTCTTTTACAAATTGAATCGAAGTAATGACGGTCCATAACACGCGTAAAAAATATTATCTAATCGAGCCTAATGACGGAATAATGCTATAGCATTCGACAAATTGTAATACCTTATAGGAATGGAAATAGAGAAAGAGAGAAGAGAAGGCAGAAGAAGAGAGGCAAGAGAAAAAAGTGAAAGAACGAGGATCGATGGAGAATGTAAGTTTTTATTTATTCTTTTCACCTCCATTTCTTTGAACAATCGGTTTGTCGATCGTTTAATGGAAAAAAAAAAAAAAAAAAAAAAAAAAAAAAAAAAAAAAAAAAAAAAAAGGTTCTTTTTTCCCCCCCCCTCTTTCCCAACTTTGCACAATCATTCTTCTTTTTTTTTTTTTTTTTTTCTTTAAACAATCGAAAAACCAATTTTTAAAAGAAATGGGGGGGAAAAAAAAAAAAAAAAAAAGGTTCTTTTTTCCCCCCCCCTCTTTCCCAACTTTGCACAATCATTCTTCTTTTTTTTTTTTTTTTTTTCTTTAAACAATCGAAAAACCAATTTTTAAAAGAAATGGGGGGGAAAAAAAAAAAAAAAAAAAGGTTCTTTTTTCCCCCCCCCTCTTTCCCAACTTTGCACAATCATTCTTCTTTTTTTTTTTTTTTTTTTCTTTAAACAATCGAAAAACCAATTTTTAAAAGAAATGGGGGGGAAAAAAAAAAAAAAAAAAAGGTTCTTTTTTCCCCCCCCCTCTTTCCCAACTTTGCACAATCATTCTTCTTTTTTTTTTTTTTTTTTTCTTTAAACAATCGAAAAACCAATTTTTAAAAGAAATGGGGGGGAAAAAAAAAAAAAAAAAAAAAAAAAAAAAGAAAAAAAAAAAGAAAAAAGGTTCTAATTTCTACCTTCCTCTTTTCATCAATTGTCCAATGATCCTCATTTTTTTAATTCGTTTGAAATTTCTCGCTATATTTCGATACTTTTATTATAGTATCGATTAAACGATTCTATACACAAAAATTAATAAATCATGAAATAAAAGCTAAAATCTATTTCACAATGTTGTTTAGACGCTTAATTAGACATTTTCTTTGTCTTCCGTGTTTCTTTTCGAGAAAGTGTAAAGAACTTCCTTTTTTTTTAGTAATTTAGATTAACTTCTGTTCTTTCGCATTTTTTTTTTTTTTTTTTTTTTT